GTAAAGTGCCTCTAGCGACTCAAGATGCAAAGAAAAGTTACAAGACAGAATCGACAGTTTGGGGTGCACCATTGCCCTCTATTGGATTAAATAAATCAGACCTGTCACAGCACAGGAGGGCTGGCTGGTTAGCTCAGTTGGTTAGAGCACCACCTTACAACACCAAGGGCAAGGGTTCAGATCCCTGTATCGAGTTGCAAAAAAAAAAAAAAAAAATTGGATACATGTGTGTGCTATCACAGCACAGGTGAGTAGACCATATGGTCTACAAAGCCAAAAATCTTTACTCTCTTGCCTTTTACAGAAAAGGTTTGATGACCCCTAGTCTATACTCCAAACTGGAACGTTCTATATCAATTGGAGAGGACTTTTTTAAGTGCTTTAGGAGCTGAGAAGAAGAAAAATGTATTTATTTGGCCCACGGTGTGTAGAGCTGGAGGGGACATACAGGTGTGCTCTGTTTTAAGACGCAGTGCATGAAAACTCAGACTTCAAAATAGATAAATTAAAAGGTAGTGATTTGCATAACACATTTTCCTTTTCATTTTATGAAGGGATTCACCACAGGGTTCCTTTACAGAGTGAGCCTCCATAATACATGCTAATATGATTTACAAATACTCTTTTCATGTTAACTTTTCAAGAACATACCTATTGTGTACAGTAGGACTGAGCTATAATTTCGTTCTGGCAGGGGAAGGTTTCCTATTTCTGAGAAATGTTTGAGCTGACCTTGTCAATTCGATGGGGCGAGGAAGTACACTCCTTCTTGTCTCCAGGAGGGGCTTTACCTGACAAACAGAAAGGCTGGGATTCTGTCTCTGCATTATGTGACGTTAACCAGCTGGTATAATTTTCCATTTTTTTCCCTGAGCTCCTCTTGGTGGCTGCAGCCAAAGTCCTAAAATGTAAACTCCTCACTGTTCTTTTACTTATTGCATATGCAAAATAGACTAATAAAAATCACGTTTGTTGCTTATGTCCTGATAAATATGCAACACGCAATAATTACAAAAAGCAATGTTTCTCTTTTAAAAATTCCAAGACATTATTATATCTGAATTACAACATAAACTGAGGCAAGTATTCAATTTAGTGTTCCCCTCAGCAAAATAGAAAGTGGTATCGCTGATTTAGTTTACGACTCGGTTCCCTCTTTCTCTGGGTCCTGAGCCTGAATCTTCGAAGAGCTTTGTGGAGTTATGCAACTGCTTTTTGAGAGATACGTAAAATGGAAACTTTGGCTATTCATAGCCAACTTAGGAGGAGCTGAAATTGTTCAAGAAGTTCCTTGCCTGGTACCATTTTGATGGTAACTATGTGTTACTGAACAAATCCACTTAATCTGGCTTTCGCGTGGTGGTTATTTTAAAGAGCAGTCTCATGGCTTTTGTTTCCATCCTTGGTGGTGACTATATTTTAGAAGTAGACAAGTATTCCTGGTATATAGCCTGAATATTTTTCAGGTTTTTGGGTGGTAAAAGAAGCTTACATAAAAATTCAAGGGCAGAGAAAATCATGCCCCGGGGAGTCCTTTGTGGCTTTACCGGTGAAGCAGATCCGTGTCACTGGGCTGCTAATGGATATTACATGCAACCCTTAAAGATGGGGAGTGAGAGAGCAGCAGAGGGCTGGTGAGAGGCAGAGGTGGCAGTAGGGCCAAGAAATAGCATTGTCAACGGGGCTGGAGATGGGAGGGGGAGGCTGGAGGTAGCTTGGTTGCCCCTGGAGGCTGCAGCTTCTCACTGTACAGCAGGTAGCACTTCAGCCACTTCTAACTCCCATCACTAGCAGGGAAACCACACGTAATAGATCTGTGAGGTTCTCTGAAGAGGAGTTTCTCTTCATCTTCCCCAGAGAAATTGCAAACAGCAGCAAGAAGCCTCCATTGCTTTCTTGAATTTAGGCTATTATATCCTCTCTCCCACCCCACCCACCACCCCCACAGAATTGTCACTACCCAGTTTTTATCTGCATCACGTATATATATGTCTTGTTTGTTTATTTATTTTTGTTTTTTTGATTCCCAGAAGCGGTATGTAATGATGGCAGGTGCAGATTATAAAACAAATGGATAAATACTGAATAAATGATATTAGTTCAGTTTTCTTTTTTCCTGGTGGTCATTTTTAAACTTTTCAAAATTAACATTAGTGTTGGGCCGACCCGGTGGCGCACTGGATAGTGCGCCGCTTGGGAAGTGCGGCGGCGCTCCCGCCCGAGGGTTCGGATCCCACATACAGACCGGTTCCCGCTCACTGGCTGAGCGAGGCGCGGGAGCAACGCCGAGGGTTGCAATCCCGTTGCCGGTCCCGGTCGGGTACGGGGGCGACACTGAGGGTTGCAATCCGTTGCCGGACACGGAAAAAGACAAAAAAAAAATTAACATTAGTGTTAATTTTGAGGAATGGGATATAAATTTCCATGCATTTTTATAATCCAACAGAAAACCGACCCCTGGCAGTGGTATATTTACCATTCTTCCTATTAGGGGTGCTTCAAGGGAAGAGTTTTTGAAGCCCTGTGACTTGAACGAAAGGAGAGGCTACTCCACTCCCCTTGAACATCTCCCTCCTACCAAACAGCCAAACAGACTTCATTTCGCAAATGGAAATGGGAGCAAACAGATTTTTTTCGAAGTGATTTTGTGAACACTGGGCCTGTTTAATTGGGTTTCTTGAGCCAGGATTAATATCATGAGCCAGGGAGCTCTGTGACATGCCTGTGTTGTTGGCTTTGCCACACTGCCTGCCTCCTGGGGGAAGGCAGGGGAAAGTGCCACAATTCAGAAGCATTTCGCTTCTGCCTCAGCCTCCTAACCAGGGTGATTTACAGCCAGCCAGGCCCAAGCGCCCAGGCCTGGCTGAGTTCCATGTAATGTCAGAAAGATTTTCCCAAGCTCAAGGTCATATCTAGAGCATGGCTTGGATATTTTTTCCATCTGTAATTTACGTGACTTTCTAATATGTTTAGCATTTGCCCTCCTCTTGTCTCCCTCCTGCTTATTAAGGTAAATTTGCACAGAAATGGGATCTTGCTTTGCAGGACCATTCACCTGACATTTGATCTCTTGAGGTGACTGGTGTCTACTGTTGATACCATGAGGATGACCCACAGAAGGCATGTCTCCCTGAAAACAGAGGCCAGGCCTTAATTAATTAGAAGAAGCCTTGCAGGTTAAAGTAATGGGGTGAATCAAATTAACAAAAGCATTTAGCATTAACTAAGGAAGGCAGAATACTCCTTCCTGTTGAGTGGGTCATCCTGGGTCACAAAAATTTTAATTTGCCTGAGATGGGAAGATCTTGAAGAAAGTACAGAAAAAGTATATTTGTTTTGTGTTTGGAAATAACTGTTGGCTGGTGATAAAGAGAGTTAACTACGACATTTTACTTTGGCTCCTGAGCTATTTTTTACTTAATATCTACCTTTGGATTGGTAATATTCATCTCTGCAAATTACCTTTGGAAGACCAAGCAAATGTGGAAAATCAGAGAAATGAGCCCCTTGCTATCACCCTGTTGCAGTTGGCTTTAATCCTCCACTGTCCGCCTGCTGCCCTCCCACCTGCAGCCACCTTCCTTATTTTCCCAAACCTTGTCTACTTAGGCAGAAATTCCCACTGAGACAATTGTAGTTCCGGTTTCCTGGTCACTGAAAGTCCATTAGGTCTGAGGGTTACTTATTAACTAACCTAAAGGATTTGAGACATAGGGAGATTTTTAAAAATATAAATGCCAAACAACAGCTTTCAAGACTGTGTCATGACAGTAAGCTGTCTTAGCAGAGAATCAAAGGATTTGGTCATCATGGAGGCTAAGCATCACCTTTCAACAAGGAAAATTTACAGGAGATGGGAGAATCCGAAGAAAATTTGTGCTGCTTTTGGCCAAGCTACCTTTGCTGGGGAAAAATTCATTCCATAAACTTATTTTAAAACATAATTACTACTTGGTTTTATCATGCATAATATTTTGCATCTAGCAGGCTGGTTAGCTCCCTTGGAGAGTGCAGTGCTGATAACACCAAGGTCAAGGGTTCAGATCCTTGTACTGGCCAGCCACACACACACAAAAAAAACAAATTGCATCTATTATTTTAATTTAATCTCACAACTTTATTAGTTGAATGTAATGATCTCCATTTAACAGATGAGGAAACTGAGACTCCAGGATCATACAGCTATTTTCCGACAAAACTAGGATTAGACCAGGCTCTGTTGCTATTACATCCCATCTCCTAAAAAATAACTAATACCATATTTTATACTCAATGTAGTATGTAGGATGACTCATTTATCTTTATACCAGTTTCATGCATTACGAGGAGGGGCCAGAGTTTTAACTCATTTTAGAAACAAAATCAAAATTTCCAATATGTACTTGGTTTACACTATAATAGTAAAATAAGTAATCTGACCAATCAACTCTGCCAAGCCTAAGACCAAAACGCATTCTACTCTCAAAACATGCAGAAGGACGCTGAGTTCCCCACTGGCCAATGCTGTCTAATTCCCTTAAATGATTCAGATGTAAAAGAGAAAATGGCATCTGTCTAATTAACACTGCCTGGTTAAATATAGCTGCCAAGGGACAGCTTCAGGACAGTGTTTACAGAACAGTCTTTCCAACCCTTTGGGCCTCAAGTTACAAATGATAGCAAGCCTTATCAGCTGGAAACAGAGCTGCCCCTAGAAGTGGTGACTGGCCAGGACAGGAAAAGGGAGATGAAAGGAGAGGGGAAAAGCTGTCACCGGTCTTCATTTCCCTCTCCTGGCATCTGGGAATTCAGAGAATGATCCCCAGGAACAAGATCCTAAAGGCTCCAGCAGCTCTTCCTGCAAACATAAGCCCTCAGTGGGCTCCTGATTCTTGCCCTCCAGCCTGGAAACATTCATTCAGCCACTGTCCTCCGAACTGCTGAGACTGCAAGGTGGCACATCTGCTCTGTGGCCCTCTTCCTGGCAGAAAGGCACAATGACCACATCCTTTCTCTTCCAGCTTCACCTTACAACATGGAAGCTGTCGCCAAGTTTGATTTCACTGCCTCAGGGGAGGATGAACTGAGCTTTCACACTGGAGATGTTTTGAAGGTAGGTGACATGGGGCCCCCAGGGAGTGATGGGGAGTTTAGGTTACTGCAGTCTGGCTGATGAGGTAATCTGGCAATCCGTGCCTTTGCTTCTTAAGAACTGCATGCAATTCCTTTTAAAAAGAGAACTTCACCTCATTCCAGAGGGTTCCTTCTGTGGACTGTGTGCCAGACACCAGGCTGAGTGATGGAAATGCAGAGTTGGCATAAGCCACCACCCTTGTCCTGAGATGCTCATGGTCTGGAGGGGAAAACACGTCCCTCCAAAGGGCTGTTATAGAAGCTCTTGGCTAAGTGCTCAGGGAGCACTCGTGAGGGCACCCGTGATTGCACCTGGAAAGATGGGGTGGTAGGAATGTGTGGCAACATGAGTGCCAGGCGTGCAACACAGGTGAGATGTGCTAGGCCATGCTGAATTAAGGGAGCATCACCAGGTTCACCATCACGGGTACTTAGAAGAGGGTGCAGGTGGAGGTGGCCTGGGAAGGCAACTGGAGGGGATGTCGCTCAACAAAGGCCATACACACCCAGGCACTGAAGGGCTTGTCCCCAGCCTGCACTTGAGTTGTAGTGGCCACTTGCTGAGCTGAAGTGGCCTTGGACTTCTCCCACATTGTATGTACCACACTTAATAGACTCCACATCTTAGCCCTTGTTTTTTTGCAAACAAGCACTAGCCCTTCAAGAGGCCATTCAGGAGTATGTGATGCCAATGTCCCCCTGCCTGACCTCAGAGCACACTCAGATAACCTGGTCCCTGGTCCCCAGAAGCCCAGATGGGCCTTCTTAGATGCCCAGCAGACTGAGTTCATTACCACCAAGAATTAAACTTCCTATATAAAAAACCTTGCCAGCATGCAAGAGGGTGACTTGGAAAGTGTCCATGGAGCACAAACCACATAGAATGGCTTCTTTTGGAATTTGGACACCCCCAGCTTGTAGCCTTCTAACTGCTCTCAACTTGCAAGACCTAGGAATGTGGTTGCAAAGAATATGCCTTCGATGTTGAAGCCTGTAAGCTTAAAACATTGGTTGGGCTGATGACCCCGGAAAAGGTGGCTTTCACTTTGGGGGGATCTTACCAAGGTCATAGAGGGGCTTGCTGTGTGGTGAGAAGTTCCTCCCTTCTCTATGGGCTCTTGTGACCATATGATTATCAACCACTCTAGCATATCCTTGGGCCAACTCTCACCCTCATCTTCCATTGCAAACAGAACCTACTCTCTCGCTGAAGTTTTCCTTATTCCCCAGAAAAGTAAAACAAACAAAATAACTTTCTTCAACTCTACTTCCCAATCTAGCTCCTAATTTTTTCTTCTTCTTTGCTGCCAACACCAAGAAGTCTCTACACTGGGCGTTCTCCACTCCCTCATTTTCCATTCATTCTATGACCCTTTGGAATCTGCCTTTTACCCCCTAACACTCTCTTAAAGTTCACCAGGGATCTCCTTAATGTGAAACGTAACAACCCTACCAGAACACTTGTAGAATGTGACGCTGCTGACTGCCCCTGTCCTGGAAGCTCTGGTCCCCCACGCTTTGGTGGGGCAACCCTGTCTCTGTTCTCCTCCTCCCTTCTGGAGCACTCCCATAGGTCTCGTTCCTGAGTGCTCCTTCCCCTCTCCCTATCCTGAAATAGAAGGTTCTACCCTTGGTTTTCTGATTTTTTTGTCTCACTCCCAGCCATCTCATTCACTTCTCTGGCTTTGACTCTCAACCTTTGTGCCAAAGACCCTCAAGTCTATGGCTCTTCCTCCATAGAAGGACACACACAGACCCCTTTGTGTACACAATGCTCCCAGGTCGCACAGCAACACACACATCGTCCTTTCTCAGGATCTCTGCTCTACTCCAAGTGCCTGTCTCCCACACATATGAGGATACTTCAAAAAGTTCATGGAAAAATGGACTTGAAAGATAATATGAATCTCTCCGTGAACTTTTTGAAGACCCCTTGTATTTGACCACCTCTGCCGTGAAGCCCTCACTGACCCTCCTCCCTGTGTACCGTCCCAGCAGAACTAATCGCTCCCTGTTTGGTTCCTCCACAGCATCTCACACACACTCCAATTTCGAGGCACTTATGATCGTCATTTATGGCGTGAAGCCCTCACTGACCCTCCTCCCTGTGTACCGTCCCAGCAGAACTAATCGCTCCCTGTTCGGTTCCTCCACAGCATCTCACACACACTCCAATTTCGAGGCACTTATGATTGTCATTTATGGGGAGGCTGAGCCTCCATGGTCTCATGCCCCCTAGACATGCATCTCCCATTGCTGCCCTTACCCCATGGGATCCAAATTGCCCATTTATGTGTTAGCTGCTTCACTTACCGAAGCTTTTTAAAGGTAGGAGCCACCATCTGCCTCAGTGTCTAGAAGAGCAGAAAGTTGACTCTCACTGGTATTTGATGAATGGATGATTGACTCCTCCACTGGGAGCTCCCCGAGGGCGGAACCAGGCCTGGTTCATCTTTGCATCTCACACAAGTCACGGCCCCAAATAGGTGCCCAGTACATATTACATGAATTGCTAAATTGTATTTCTACGTGCTCATTTAGAATTCCATCAGAAAGCCAAACCCCTCCCTCTTTTCACATGCTGTTCATTGCAGCTGTAGTGGAAAGGAGAAAAATGGAGCGGGCTTGTTGACTGAGCCTCCTGAATGTCTGTGTGACAGTGGTCAGCACCCACGCCTGCAGCTCCCCACTGCAACTACAGTGTCTGTCCCTCCCCTCCCCAGATGGTAACATATCCCGGGATCTTCACAATGATTTCAAAGCCAGCTCTCAACTGCTCCAGCCATTCACTTTGGGGATGCTCTGTCTCTTGTTTGGCCTTTTCTGCTAAGGACTAAAGAGATTTTCATCAGAAAGGAGCAACAACAAAAAATCTGACTAGCTCACCCACCACCCACCCTCTCCAGGTGTGCTGGCTGGGGAAAAGGCCCAAGCTTATTCACCTCTGTATTCCCAGCACCTAAGTGTAATCAGCAGGTGCTCACTAGATGCTGATCTGCACAAAATGGTCAACAAGATGGTGGACAGGGAACTCCTGCCACGTGGCTTGGTCCCACTTCTCCTGTGAGAGAAGCATTTGAAGTCAGGAATCAGATCTTTCAAGTTCATGCCACAAACCTCCGTACCTGCAGCTGCACAGACTTACGTTCAAATTTTCCACTTGAATTTGCTAGTAGCTCTGGAAAATGTCTCTCAGCCCATCTGTTTCTATCTACTTCTGAAATGCATCTAACTCAACCCACTTTCTTCCTACTAAAACGGCGATCTGAAGCATGAAGAGTTAATCCTACATAATTAACTTCAATACTTCTGATTTCTGCCATGCCTCTAAGAGCTGTAATTCCACCCAATTTAAAAATTCTTCCAGCTGTACTTTTGGTCTTCCCAGGTCCAGCTTATGCTCAGGCCATGGAACCCAGGAAATTATTCTCTTAGGGAACATTATAAGAATTAAGGGACAGTAAACGTTAAGCGTAAAACTTCGTGTGTTTAGGGTGTTCACGTGATGGATACAAGAGATGGGGGATGGAATAGATGGGGAGATGAGAGCAGGAAGTGGGAGGGGGCCCTGGGCCCACAGGGGCAGGAGGAAACCGCTCCCCCCAGCCCGCCCAATACTTTTCTTTGTAGAAAATGAGATTTTTTTTAAAACCTTGCCTTCTACACACCATAAAAAGTAAAATTACCTCTCTAGAAACACAATCTCTGGCAGATCAAGCACCAGGTGATGGAGAGAAATGGCTGGCCCTGTGGGATAAGCTTTCTGTTTCTAGAAGAGGTAGATGGGTATGAGCCGTGATGACTAAAATTACAGCTGGTTTCAGGTCAGGCATGAAGCACGAAGTGTGATTCTTACCGTGATAAGCCAATTTCCAAATGGCCTCTTTCACCTCTGCTCACCTTTGTGTTTGACATTTGCTACCCTGTGATGGGAGAAAGGAATTCCAGAGCCATAAATTCAGGAGCAGTGGCACCGAGTGGAATGTTCTCATGCTCTTTGTGTGGATACGAGGCACTGCTGCTGGGTTTCCTCGTTCTTCTTTGACCTAGATTTTCGGCTCCCCCCTCCACCCCGCTCGGCATCCACGTAACCACACGTCCTCAGTGATACTCACAGTCACATTTGATGTTAGAAACTATAAAGTTTTCTGTTCTCAGCAATTCTCAAACTCAAATATGGGACACACTTTTATTTCTTCAGAACAAATGATGAAATTCAAAACATACACGTATAATGCTTTAAAGACCTTATAAACCCTTCCATGTCCTTCAGAGCTGGAGAGCTCCCTCATAAGAGTACCACATTCGACAGAATTATATTTTTAAAAAGAGTACACGCCTTCGGGGTGACTTTTGGCTACCGGGGCTCATTTGATCCTCACATCAGCTCTGTGAGGTGCTAGCTGGTTATTATTATCCCCATTTTTCAGATGACTAATTGACTTGACCAAGGTCACGCAGCTAGTGACAGAGCCAGGCTAGAAACCAGGTCTCCCCGTTCCAGACTCATAGCACCCTCCTGCTTCTTCCACCTTGGGAATGACACTAGAAATAGGTCGTCGTTGCTTCTCAAGGACTGAGCTCTCTTCAATTCTCTTCCCATCCTTTTCTCTGGGAGAGAGAAACCAAGGGAGCCATGACTTCAATTCCACCCACTTTCAGAGGACCCTGAAATCCCAGACTCCAGCCTCGACCTCTCTCCTGAGTCCAGACACACATGTCACCGAGCTTTTCTTCTTAGCTGAAGAATTTTGCCATCTGAGGTCCACGAGTGCCTCCTCAGCCCTCCTCCTCGCCCTGGATTTTCTATTTCAGTGGAGGCAGCGCCACCTACTCAGTCTCCTAAGCCAGAAATCCACAGTCATCCCAGGATGCCCTTCTCCCTTAGCTCCTGGGAACAGTCACAAAATCCTGCCTGTTCGGCTTCTTGAATTCCTCTGAAGCGTGTCTTCGCCTCTTCTTCACCTGGGCCCCCACCATCTCTTGCCCGGGGGACCACACTCAGCTTCCTGCAGTTTCTCAGCTGACTTGACCCGTCCAATTCAGCTTCACGCTCTGATCCAGAGCTCTTTTTTCACTTCAACTCTTACTGTTATTTTCCTGCTTAAAATCCTTTAGCAGCTCTGCATAAGTTTCAAGATAAACATCCAGACTCTTCAGCGTGCGCCCCGAAGCCCTTGCTTCTAGCTTCCCTGTCTCCGCTCCCGGATTCGCACATGCTGAGGTGCTCAGCCGAGAACTGTGGTCGCTTTGCAGTCTGGCTCCGCCTGTGTGACTCTTCATTGCCTGGGCAGCTGGCCTCTCTCCCAGGTGGTCCCTTCCTAGCCATCTTCTGCTTTCCCCTTTGTCACAGTACTTCTATCAGTTAAGACATTTTACGCTACAAGGAACAGAAACTAAAGTGGCTTAAACAATAACAAAGACATTATTTCTCCAAGCCTAAAAGTAGCAGAGCTCCTGGGCGGTTAATTCAGGGGCTCAGAGACAGCATCGGGTTCTTTCTGTCTTTGACTCTGCCATCCTCACTTAGGACCATTGTTCAAGTCTACGTGACATTCTTGAGAAACGTTTTCAGTGGGGGTGGCAAATATTTGTCTTTTAATGGTGAATCTCATTTTCTGAAATAATCAGAAGCCACATAGAGCCAAGTCTGATGAGAAGTCTGAGTAATCAAGGTAGGTGATAACATTTGGGGTCACAGTCAAAGCAGGACCATAGAGTAACGACACAGAACTTTTGGTTTCATTTGTGATCTCGCTTTAAAAGCAAGCTGAGAAAAGGCATCCCAGGTATCTTGAGTTCTGTCCAAACTATGTGTGAACCACATACTGTGAACACAAAAGTTATTGTTTTCAAAGCTGGCCCTACTTGGATGCGTGATCTCGCTTTAAAAGCAAGCTGAGAAAAGGCATCCCAGGTATCTTGAGTTCTGTCCAAAATATGTGTGAATCACATACTGTGAACACAAAAGTTATTGTTTTCAAAGCTGGCCCTACTTGGATGCTTAAGTTTTAAAACGCATGTTTCAAAAATAAAAACAAATTAAATTTTTAAAGTTTCCTGGTTACCTGAAAAAGAAGGGAAAGCTACGGACTCACCATTCTGGCTTCCCACCATCTGTCCAGACGAGGAACTTCAGGTGCTAAGATCGCAGACAAATTTCCAAAATAGGAGAAAGGGATTCAGGGAAGTCCCTGCGTACTGGGTCTGGGAGGCCAAGCCACAGTGGGGTGGCAGGAGTGAGTGGCACAAGTGGACAGAAATAACCTGTGGTCAAGAGAGGCCAAACTCCAAAGATAGACCCGCTGCCCCCCACCGGACCTGGGGCAAATCCTTGAGCAGCTGTTCAGTTCCTCCCGCTTATTTTCTTCTGAGTCCAAAAGGATGTTCTTTGCCCTGCAGCCCCTTTCTCCTGCTTTCTGGTGTCCCCCCTGCAGTGTCATCGTCCTTCCTTCTCTTCCATGTAGATCTTAAGTAACCAAGAGGAGTGGTTCAAGGCGGAGCTGGGGAGCCAAGAAGGATATGTGCCCAAGAATTTCATAGACATCCAGTTTCCTGAGTAAGTATTTCCAGCCCGCTCACATACGCACCCCTTACTTTTTCCATAGTTACTAAAATTATCCAGGCACAACCGAGATACTGTCAAAAATGGTTGCCTCTGGAGATCTCCCTCCGGAGCCTCCAGAACCACGCAGTTGAAGGCCTTGGGCAGGAGGATTTGCTTTCATTTCATTCCCTTCTGAATTTTACACCATGTGCATGTATTGCCTATTTTTGAGTTTTTATAAAATGAATTTATAAACTAAAATCATCTAGAATGATTGCCATCACATGATTTCCAAGAGTTCCAAATGGGGGCTGGCTGGTGTCTCAGTGGTTAGAGCATGGTGTTACAACACCAAAGTCAAGAGTTCGGATCCCCATACCGGCCGGCTGTCAAAACAAAACAGGGTACAAAATGTACTAACCCTAAAGGAAATAAATGCTAATATTACGAATAAGAGCTCCTGTTTATCAAAAAACACCATTAAAAAAAAGTGAAAGTCAAGAGTTCCAAACGGGACACTGTGGGCCACCCCGCTTCAAGAGCTGCTGCTTCAGGCACTTCTGCATTACCTCCAGCCCTAACCTCCACCGCATGCAGGCACTTGGCCCTTAATAGGGTGGGGGTGCGGACACCTCCTGCCTTCCTTAAAGCGGGCTCACCCAGCAAGAGAAGTCAGCGGAGGGAAAAGGGGGATCCCCTTCCCAAAGAGGAAATGAAAAATTAAGATTGGGTCCCTTTGTCTCAAGAGTTGACCACGAGGGTGAGATAGAAATCTCATCTTGTCTCAGAGCCAGGGTCTAGCCCAAAGAGCAAACGTTTGTTAGAAAACTAAAGTGGTACTGGCGACTCCAGTGAGGTGCAGCGGTGGCACTCCTGGCAAACCAGTACTGACCACTGAACCACAGCATGACCACTGACCTGGATCCAGCCCGTGATGCTGCCTGGTAACCTGCTGGGTGACTGCTTCACACCTGCCCTGCTCCTCACACCTCCAGCCCCTCCCCGCCTCACTCTCAGCCCATGGCCTTGCTTCCAAATTCCCTGGGACAGCTAAAGCCTCCAGAAGAGAAGCTCCCTGCCTCTCTCTCCCACCCCCCCCCTCCACCCACCACCTTCTGCAACTGGCTCAGACACTCACTGCCTTTCCTGCAGCTGTTTGGAAGGAACTGTCAGGCTTCTAGCAGAAATTTTCCCCCTTCTCTCCTGCATCAACCTTTTCCTCTCTGCTGGATCATTCCCATCAGCAAACAAACACGCTGCAATTTCTCCTATGTTACAACAAAACAAACAACAAAACAGAACAACTCTTGATCCCAAATCCCCTTCCAGCTGCCACTCCATTTCTTCTGAAGAATTGCTTGTCTTCGCTGTTTTCTGCTCCTCACCTCCTACTCTCTCTGGAGCCCCCAGGACTCCTTTGAAACCTTTCCCGTCAAGGTCACAGTGAACTTCAAGACCCAGCGGTGATTCCAGCCATCACCTTAGCATGACTGGGGGGGGTGGTGTCTCTTCCTCCCATGGAAACACTTTCTTCATTTGGCTTCTGGGACACACTTCCTCCCGGGTGTCCTCCCACCTCTCTGGCTGCTCCTTCCTCATCCCCTCAATCTCCTTTAGCTTTAGAATATCCCCTTCTCAGTGAGTCTTTCTCATCGCCATATTTTAAATTCCTCTCCCACCCCCCACTCCCCGTCCCTTCTGTTTGTTTTCATTTCCTCCTCAGCACGTATCATCACCTGGAATACTATATATTTTAGTTATTTTGTTGTTTATTGTATGTGTGTCTCCCGACCCCCAACTAGAATGTAAGTTCCCTGAGGGCAGGGGTGCCCGTCTGTTCTGCTCACCAAAATATATCCCCAGCGCCCACAAGGGGGCCCAGCACAATAGTGGATGTTCAATAAATAAATTAATTGAACTAATTAATTATTAATGAATTAACAGGTCAATAAGTGAGATGTTGAATGAATGAACTTTGGAATGATATGTAATACTGAAACCCTGGCCACTCGTGTGTAATATGTAGTGTGTGGAAATTTTTGCAAATCTTGAAAGAAGCCCCGTATCAAATTCCAGTTGAAGAACAAACGTGTGTTTTCAAAATCCCCTAAATGCCTGTTGCCTCTTCTGAAATATCTCCTTTGAGATGTGGCTGCAGTGGAACACACCCCATTTCTTTTCCCATCCCCGTCACATTTCCCACATGTGGCAGTGACGTGGTGGTCACTTTTTCAGTCCTGCAGGGTTGTATGGCACATACTCTGGCAGGATCTCCAGACCACCAGAAAGCCCTGTTCCCAGCCCCTCAGAGCACAACCAACCTTCCCCGGCGGTCCCAGGTCTGCGAAAAAGTATACCCTACTGCTGCCCCCATCTCCAGTCCAGGTTCCCAATTTCTAGAAAGCACAGGGAATTTCTCACAAAGGAATTCAATGCCCCCAAGTCCTATTAGACATTTGTCTTAAAGAGACATGCATACTAGCCTTCTGGTGGCAGCAATTAGAGCAGCCACTTTAGAGCAATGTGACACTTTGGCCGCAGAGTGATTGCAAAGACTCATTTTGCTTTTCTGTGGTTGAGAGAGGTTTCTGGCCTCCCGCCCTGAGGCTGTAGCCACTATTCACCTTGCCCTGTGTAAGTGTTTGACTGTCTTCATACAGGCCATGCTGTGTGCACCAACACTTCCAGGGGCTGCCACCCTGATTGCTCTCCTGGAAGGGCAGTTTCTCCTCTGTTTCTTCTTTCCCACATTAAGGATTATTTTCCAGCCTGGATTTTGTGGGGAGGGCCCTGGAGCCAGCTGGGCAGACACTGCCCTCTGGTTGCTGCCAGCCTCACACATTTCCATGCGTGTGTGTGCAGGGCTCCCTGGAGGCCTTGCAGCCTCTGCCAGGCACACTGAGCAAAGCCCCCTCCTGCTCCATGCCTGCCCAGATAGCACAACCGCCTGGCCTGTAACTCTCCTTTAATGCCCCAAGGGGAGTCTCCAGGCCACTGAGGTCTCAGCCTGGGAATGAGCCCCCAAGGCCCTGTCCAGTGGGTTCTGGCCTGGTTGCTCCAGTGCCTCAAATGTCCCTTCCCAGTCCAGTGCATCCTCTATCTCTGCAGTTCTTTTCTATCCCTCCCACAGGTGCTGAGGGTAGCTGCTCCCTGAGGTGTGTCACTCCCACATGGCCCCACTTTGGTGCAGTGGCACATTTCCATGATGCAAGTTTTCCAAGCTGGACAGAGACTTCTTCTGTGGGGAAGGAAGAAAGAGGGTGAATCAAGGGGAACAGCCACTTGCCTTCCCTGACAACCACCTAGCGCCTTTGTTGGGTTTTAAGCCACATCCATCCCCTCTTTGGTCTCTCTTTTTTCTCTACTGAACAGAGTCCCCAGCCTCTCCTCCTTTGGGCCACCTCTTCCCCACTCTCCCTCCTGTCACTCACGCATCTCACCAAGACCCTCTCGTTTTATCCTGCCTGATAGATGGTTTCATGAAGGCCTCTCACGACACCAGGCAGAGAACTTACTCATGGGCAAGGAGGTCGGTTTCTTCATTATCCGGGCCAGCCAGAGCTCCCCAGGAGACTTCTCCATCTCCGTCAGGTACTGCCCATTCCTGACACCACCCTGACCCTTCTCAGCCTCTAACTACTCAGATCGCTGAAGCCATCAGATGACCTCTCGAGCATGACCCAGTGATCAGAAGCATGGTGGCCAAGGGGACCAAATATGGTGGCATCTTATCAACTGTGTTGCTATCCATTTCCTTCCCTGAACATGCACACATAACTCTTTAGCACGTTGGTTTGTGTTCAAAATTATGTGTTATGGGGCCGGCCCGGTGGCGCACTGCTACAGTGCGCCGCTTGGGAAGCGCAGTGGCACTCCCGCCGAGGGTTCGGATCCCACATACAGACTGGCCGCTCACTGGCTGAGCGAGTTGCGGGAGCAACACCAAGGGTTGCGATCCCGTTGCCGGTCCCGGTCCGGTACGGGCGCGACACTGAGGGTTGCGATCCGTTGCTGGTCACGAAAAAAGACAAAAAGGAAAAAAAAAAAATTATGTGTTATGTTCATCTGCCACCCACTCTAACCCAGGTGCTTCCAGAAGGGCAGGACTTTTATCAGCTTCATCTTTGTGCCTTTAACAGTGCTTCACACATAGTAGACTCTCGATGAGTATTTATGGAAGGAAGGAAGGAGGGGAGGAAAGGAGATGTCCACATCCCTGTGGAGGTTCAAATCTTAACCTTTTTGTTTACTATTGATGCATGTCTGAAGAAGAGCCAGAGAAAAATAGAAATCCGAAGTCACTGCTGTAGGGTACACAGGGGCAGAAAAGGTGTCACCTCTCCCTCACCCATCATAAGGGTCATGGCTGACACTCCTACAACAAAAGACAGTCTAACAAGAGAAAAGCATAACACATTAATTTAATCAAAGCTTTACATGGAATGGAAGCCTTCAGAAATGAAGACACAAAGATGCAGGAAAAACTCTCTATTTTTATGCTTAGCTTCCTCTAAGAACAGACTGTTCAAATTTTTCTTGGCCTCCCTGTATGGCATTTCTTCCTCCCATGTATGGGTCGGGAGTATGGTCCCCCACTGAAATAAGGTATGGTCCCCACTGAAATAAGGTATGGCCCCCACTGGAATAACGTATGGTCCCCCACTGGAATAACGTATGGTCCCCCACTGGAATAACGTATGGTCCCCCACTGGAATAACGTATGGTCCCCCACTGGAATAACGTATGGTCCCCCACTGGAATAACGTATGGTCCCCCACTGGAATAACGTATGGTCCCCCACTGGAATAACGTATGGTCCCCCACTGGAATAACGTATGGTCCCCCACTGGAATAAGGTATGGTCCCCCACTGGAATAAGGTATGGTCCCCCACTGGAATAAGGGTCTTATGACCCACTATCAGGCAATGTAGGTCAAAGAGTTTGGTTTGGGCCAACTCCTACACAGAAAGGCGGGGAAAGGTTAGAGTCATATTTCTAGGTTTTGTGGCTTGCTTTGGGGGAAGAGCGGTTCTAGTTTCTATGACCTGTCTTGAGGAAGAGGAATTCCGGTTTCTATGACTCGCTTTGGGGGAGAAAAAGGGGCAAGAGACAGCAGGGCAGGAGAAGGTCAGAGAGAGACGTTGCTTCTGAGGGGGCTTCGGAGGCTTCCAATCTCCTTTAGTTCAAAGTTCTCAGCATGCCAAAGCACCATACTTTGGGGTATCATTTTCCGAGCCCCAGCAGATACGTATATTGTTGTAGGTGGATGAAAGGAAAGAAAGGCTACCTCAACACACTACAATGCAGAACAACAGAGCAGTGCCAGGTAGGGTCAAGCGTGGGGGGACTGTAACAGTGAAATGTTACTTACACGCAGCACCCGGAAGGAAGTGACTCAGTCCAGGCAGAGACATTACACAGCCCCAAGCTCCGAAGCCCCAAGTCTGAACACACTGTGTGTGGTCAACGTGTCGGGGATTGCAAGTCATGTATCAGACTTGGTGACCACATGTGAAAGTACAAGAAATAATGCTGATAAAAGATTAAGAAAAGCATGATAACCTGTACAGTAAACCCTGACTGTCAAGTTAATTCACAGAATATGCTGGTCTGGGTTATTCAATATATTTTGAAAAGCACACAGCTTTATTTCTTTAAGTACAGAAAGAACGGATATTTTAAAGAGGAAGGACCTAAAATAATGGGTCAACCATTTTTATGCCTCTAGGGTGCTTGAAAATACCTTAATTAGTTCTGTAGCATTGCCCCTACAATCTTGCTTAAACACTTAATTTTCCTTAACTAAAACTGTCTTTTTCACAGCTTGGGCAATGGTAAATTTTAGCTCAGGTTATTATTAGTGTTTCACAAATTCTAAACTTGTTAGGTCTTAATTAATGAAATTTTGCTTTATTAATATGTCTTACAGGGGCTGGTTGGTTAGCTCAGTTGGTTAGAGCACAGCCTCCTAACACCAAGGTCAAGGATTTGGATCCCCATACCAGTCAGCTGCCAAAAATAAATGGTGGGTGGGGCCTCTATCAATATGTCTTACAAGTCAACCTATTTCTTAAGGACCTTGATCATAAACTAGACCAGGTAATTTGTTAGATTGAAGGGCATCTCTTGGTGCCTTTGGTTTGCTTAAAAATGACTCTGACTTTTTCAGCTAGGAATTATGGTTTATATTTCCTTTATTAAAGTGAATTCTACAAAGTAGTCAACCTTGACTTCTGCCAAAGTCTTCCCCTGATATTGAGGCAATGTAGCTTCTTGTTATGGTTAGTATTACCATAATCCCTGTCATATCTTCTGCAGGAATTTAGTGTAATATATTCCAAAGCAACGCCATTTTTATTTAGTTTTACATCTGCTTTCTGTCAAAGGGACAGGTAATTAGGAGTTAATTGTAGTTCTATCATTTAGCATTTGTTAAGAGTCTGAAACACTAGATTTGGGAATCTGGAGCCCTTAGTTACATCTTTTTCACTGCCCCAGTCAGGACTTGAGAAATGACAGGCCATTCTTTCTCCATAGACCCAGGTGTTCAACTGCAGCCCTGACAAACATCTTTGCAGCTTATGAGAGTGTAAGGGTTAATGTTTCGCACTCTGAGTTCTTTGACTACAAGGTGGTGGATTAAAAATTATAATATCACAAGAATATTTCCTCTTCCTCACCCAGATGTGAGTGGGGATGACTATGAGGGAGCTGTGTAGTCTTAAAGTGAAGGAAGCATTTGCTAGTGGCCAAAAGCAAGGGGAAGACCATGTGATGATTGCCAGGTGTCAGTCACCACCCCAAAGCAGCCAAGCAAGGGGTTATTGTACAACCTTCGCCTTCACCCCACTATGAACAGAGCCCAGCACATAAGATGAGATTGAGGGTCAGAATTCTTGTCCGCTTCTGAACGCAGACCCCTAAATCCTTTCCTAAGATTCCTCCACTTACCTTCCCAGGTATCTTTACTCTCCAAGACCCTTTCTTCTTGACCTTTCTTCTGGATCAGGCAATTGGCATCATTAGGGCCAGTTTATTTTTAGATGTAAGTGTATGTCTGTTTGAAAAATAAACTTTACATCCAAAAGAGAATGACCTGGCAATGAAGGAAGAGTGTAGCTAATGGTAAAGGCCTGCCTACCCAGACGGGTTAAATCCAGTTTCTCCAACCCTGATACAAACGTGCCTCATCACTTGTAAGTTCAGACTGGTATTAAAAGGTGGTGATCTAAAAGCATGTTTACGTGGTGTGACAGGCCATGCTCACTAGTCTGGAATCAGAGACTCAGTCATAGTGCCACTCACTCCAAGTGACATTGACTGAGGCCCTCAATTGTAAAATGGAGAAATAAGGCTGAACAGTGTTCTAGGTCCTTTCCAATTAAAACTCTTCAATTCCATATAATACCTTTTCCCCCTAAAAGGTCAAAATACTTTGTGACCTCACTTATGCAAAACATAAACCAAGATAAAGAGATCCTCATTATGTAGAGAATAAATGTGACAAATTTCTCAGGGAAGAGAGTAGCTTCTCCCCTACCAGTGCTAGCTTATGGGTTTAAAGGAGGTGGTTCAAAGTATATCTGATAACAGGTTGAAATACTCCTCCACCACAGAGACCTCAGCATAGTGCAAGACTAGGTGTTTGCATGTTTCAAATAAACATTGTGAAAGGTCCATGATCTCTTAGTCTTTAAGGCACTTGGAACATTTTTTTCTTAAGAAACGTGGCTTCAGTGTCCTATACAGATTCCAGCTCATCTGATTACCTTCTGCTATTGTAAAAATCCCCTCTAGTGTAGCCTGTGTCCTAAGTGGTCCCATCCACAAACGTGCTAAATCTTGACTGGGCCAGCCCACCTGCCCAGTGATGGGAGAATCATCCATAACTACATTTCCTGCCCAAATAGAACTCTGCCATCCCTGGATGCAAGCAGCCTGGAGGCGGGCACATGGTCACCATGTAACTTGTGATTTGGGTTTGCCTTGATCTCCAGGCACGAGGATGACGTTCAGCACTTCAAGGTCATGCGAGACAACAAGGGTAATTACTTCCTGTGGACTGAGAAATTTCCATCCCTGAATAAGCTGGTAGACTACTACAGGACGACTTCCATCTCCAAACAGAAGCAGATCTTCCTGAGAGATAGTTCTCGAGAAGATCAGGTACACTCCGGACCCCAATCAACCCCAGTCTAGAGATTTTAGGCAGCCTGAAGTCCCGTGTGAGCCACCAAGAAAATACATTTGATGGACAGATCCTCTGAGGATTCTGAAAGGCAGAATAGCTCCAAAGTCAGATCTCAGTTTAAGCCCTAGCATAACAATTCCTAGCTACGTGACTTTGGAAAGTTCTCTGAGCCTCTGTGTCCTCATCTATAAAATGGGGATAATAGTGAGATGTACCTCACAGGGTGGTTGTGAAGGTTAGAGAAGATAATGCATCCCCATCCCTCACATCATTCCTAATCACGCCACACTCAATAGGTATTAGCTTATTGTGGATGCTAGTATTTTGTTATTCATGAAACTTGCTACATCACCATTTTCAGCCTAGCTCAGGAATTGCCCAAGGATGAAGGAGTCGAGGGCTACAGACAGGGATGTTAGCAACGTAGAGTCCAGGACTAAAGAACCAGGTGGAGGTTTGTGCTGCGACTGGGGTGGCGATAGGGCTGGGGGACGCTGGAGGAAAAAACTGGACCTGAAATTCTTGCTCTTGGAACTGCTTGGAATACAGAGTATCATTTTAACAGAAAATGCATCAGAGAGACCTGGCGTTGAATCCTGATTTAATCGCCAGCTAACTGTGTTACCTACCTAGCCAAGAAACCTTTCCTAGTAAGTTTTTTCCTTTGTACAATGGAAAGAATAATAATACCTCCCTCACAGGGTCATTGTGAGGATTAAATTAGATAATATGATTATAGCACTGTCACAGTCTGGTCCATGGTAAGCACGAAAGAAATGTGAACTCAGCACCCTTAAGTAAATACATGCACACACACGCACACACGTGCACAATTTATAAACTATTTTTCAAAAGAATAACATGTTCATTAAGAGACAGGTATTATAGGAAGAAACATTGACTAGAATAGTTGAAATCCTAGGGGAAGGTTATTAAATGGCACTGAGACTGTTAAAGCAACATGTGCTTTGGAGAAGTAAAGAAAACCCTCCCTTTCAAGTTGTCGGTTGTTTTTAAGCCTGAGAAGTTATTATGAAAGGAAAAAAGGGTGTTCCCACCAACTGCACACAGAAGTTCAGAAAGGAAAACAAAGGTTAACTAAGGCCTTGTGAGTTATTTTAACCACGAAACGGACCTCACTAGGATGTGCATTCAGAAATGAGAGAGGCAAAATAAAATTGCATTAAACCGTATTATGAGTTGATATTTCTAAAGCACCTATGTGATTGTTTGTTAAATAAAAACAACAGTAAAGTATTTCTGATTCACAAGGCTGTTACAGCATTAGGTAGAAAGGCTTTGCTCCTTCCTGGCATGCCCAGCGGCAGGTTTCCATGACACTGCAGGAACGCTGCCATTTGGGTCTCTATCACCAGGCTATTAATGACAGTTCAAAATCATGCAAAGTCAATAGCAGAGCTTATCTGGAGGGTAAGATGTCCAGCAGCATGGCAACATGTGACAAGGAGGGGTAGCATTGTGTCAGCAAAATGGAATGTTTAAGCTTGATTGCACAGAGAAAAACAAGCCCACTGAGAATGGACTAAATGGGTACTGTGTAGAAAGTGTTCGTCTGTGAGCCAGAGACCTAAACTCCTAAAACTGGGAGAGTCTGAGAATGCAGAGGCCACTTTTGAAAATGGAAGGTCTGAACCATCGATTCTCCCAGCTATTTCTCAAAGCTGAGGGGAGCAAAGTCTAGGAAGAGCTGCCAGAGGGTGGGGTAGGGCCAGAGATCTGGGAGGCCAGGTCTGCATTGTCTGTTCTCTCTCCTAGGGTCACCAGGGCAACAGCCTGGACCGCAAGTCCCAGGGAGGCCCACACCTCAGTACTGCTGTGGCAGAAGAACTCCGGCCTTCCATGAACCGCAAGCTGTCGGACCAGCCAGCACCCGTCCCCTCGCAGTACCATCAGCACCAGCAGCCACCGCCGCAGTATCCCCCAGTACAGCAGCCGCCACAGCAGCGGTACCTGCAGCATCACCATTTCCACCAGGTAGCTCAAGAGAGTAACGTGGGGCACAGTGAGGTGGGAAGAAGGACCTGCTGGCCCCCCAGGCCTGGCCTAGCCTCATCAGGTCTCACAGAGCTCATGAAGAAGATCCTGGGCGCCCCAAATGGCAGAAATATGGAAACTGCTCTTGGCAAAGAAGTCTCTGTGAATTAAATGGCTCCCTGCCTGAGTACACACACACACACACACACACACACACACACACCTTACCCTGAGGACTCAGGACAACTGCTTCACTTTCCTATCAGCACAATTCCAAATCTATTCGTGCCCCTTAACCCATCTGGCTGTAGAGATCCAGTAGAAGAAAGGATTAACACCGCAATGGAGCCTTGCTTATTTATTTATATAACCCCTGCCTTGTTCCAGATGGGATTTCAGGCAGCTTACTGAGATGGACAATACAGCCTGATAACATCGTTCCCAAATTCCTTAGCAGGGCACACAAAATCCTTTGTGAGCTGCCCGTATCCATGTCTCCAGCCTCATCTCCTGCCACCTGCCCCAACTCCCCATGCAAACATACATCCCAGCAAAGCTGCACTGCCTTTAGTCACCTGAATGGTGGCCCATTGTGTTTTCTCTCACTCCTTTGTGGCTTTTTATATGCCTTTCCCTTTGCCTGAAGTGCCCTTCCCTGGCCAGTCCTACTCTTCTCTCAAGGAGGAGTTCCAGCATCACCTCCTCTATGAAGCCTTCCCTGATTTACCCAGGCAGACCTGGACATTCTTCAGTCTGCTCACTTATCTCTTAAATGTTAATGCTTCTCCCTTTAAGTGGAAGCTCCAGGAAGTGAGGGACCTTCTCTTTCCAGCTGTATATCCCTAGTGTCTGGCATAGTACTAGAGACATGGTCAGTGCCTGATAAATATTTGTTGATCAAATAAGTGAAACCCGCCATCATCTTTGCCTTCAGAATTTAAGGTCCCTTCGTCCTCCTTCATCCTCCTTCCCCTTCTCTCCATCATCCAGGGTTTATTGTCATCAGCAGCAGGTACTCCTGGAATGCTGGCTGTGTCAATGGCACCTAAGCAAGGCACTGGGGGAGCTTGTGATAGATGCTTCCGGCAGTGGGTAACAGGTCCTCTGCTGCATCTATTTCTAGGAACGCCGCGGAGGCAGCCTTGATATAAATGATGGACACTGTGGCAGGGGCACAGGCAGCGAGATGAATGCCACCCTCATGCATCGGAGACACACAGACCAAGTGCAGCTCCAAGTGGCAGGGGTATGTGCTGTGTCCTTTCCCTCTCTGGGCTCCCTGGGAAAAGGCTGTGGGGACAGAGCTCAAGGGAGGAGTCAAAAGAGGCAGAGAGCTCAAACTCGAGAGGCTGGGAACCCATGAGTGACATATGGGGGGAGGCCTGGGGCCCACTGACCCAGCTCAGCACCACCCAGCCTGCTGCTGTCAGGTGGGCTATCAGCCTTGCCCGTTCTCCTAGTACCCGACTCTAGTTCTAGGGGTGGGAGTTGGGCTGCCATCAGCATTGCAATCCATCTCCACTCGGGACTTGATTGCACTGCCACCGAGGGCTGTTATGTGGGCATGTTGCCATTCTGTTGGTCACTTGAAGAAAATACAAATACCACCTAGAGATGTGGAGAAAGTAGTTCTCAAGGATTATCATGGGGCCTTGGAGAATAACATCTCTTTTGGTAAAAGTCCTGAGTCTCAAGAATGACGCTGGTGAGTTCTGGGGGCTTTGTGCTCAGGGCTGTGCATTCGGGTCTGCTTTAAGCGGGGTCAGCCCTCAGGGTGGGCTGCTCTCGGAGGACTTGGACGTGGTATGAGGAGCCAGCAGAGCCTCTCTGTGCTTCCCCCACAGCGAGTGCGGTGGGCCCGGGCGCTGTACGACTTCGAGGCGGTCGAGGAAGATGAGCTGGGGTTCCGCAGCGGAGAGGTAGTCGAGGTCTTGGACAGCTCCAACCCGTCCTGGTGGACCGGCCGCCTGCACAACAAACTGGGCCTCTTCCCTGCCAACTACGTCGCACCCATGATCCGATGAACCCTTCTTTGGGGACCAACAGCTTTTTGTCTGAAGCTGCCTGCAAGAGAGGAGCAAGGAAAAAAGCTGGGCTGCATGACTACATATACATGCCTATGTATACACACAACATTTTATAATAGTAATTTATTGGCAATTGGGTTGGTTAATTAGTTGACATGAAAAGGAACTCAGGTGGTGAATGATACTCAGACTCATTTTTCTACTCTCCTCAGGGGTGTGTGGAAGGCATTGGGGGTGTTGGAAAGGGGGGCCGGGAAATGAAACAGAGCTTCTTCCTGTCCTTGGGTTCTCACCGCTTGCTCCTTGTCTTGGGAATTTTCATGGAGAGTAGCCAAGCAGAGACCACACCCGGTGTTGGACGCAGAACAACAGGGTGGAGTTGAACTTGGTGGGGCAGGTTCTGGCTCATCTGCAAGCCCCACTCACCTGCAGGGCTTGCAGAACAGCTTGCCTCCGCTTCTCCAAGGGGTGGGCACTGCTTTGAGAGTTAAGGTGCAGCCAAGCCAGTGTGAGCTGGGAGCGGCAGGGGTGTGGACACAGGACAGGAGCAGGCGGGCTGGAGAGACCCTGCCTGTGCAAGGCTGGCCTCCTACTCCATGCCCAGCCGAGACTTGCATGTCCCTCAAATGAATATTCCTTGCATAATCTTCTTCCCTGTGGCTGACAGGAGGGAGTGTTTCTCCAACATGGAGAAACAGAGACACTGTGAGGAGCCAGGCACTGGGAAATAGAGGGATTTTACATAGATCCCCTAGAAGTTTACTTGGATGTAACCTCCATTTCCCCAGCTATGAAGAAACCAGTATCCTAGACACTGTAAAGTGCATGGAGAACCCCTGGCTGAGAATGCTGAAATTTAGAGTCATTGTTTTATGCTTACAAAGGTAGCTCTTCAGGGCTCTGTTTGTTTTCCCTCTTGATTTTCTGTTTTGGAGATGCCTTGCCCAGTGGAACAGAAAGAAGCCCCCTTTACAGGAACATTGACTATTGACTAATCGATTGAACATGACTCTAGTCAGAGCTGGCTCTGAAATGAGCTTCCTGTTCCATCTGACTGCTGGATCACTGCTACCTTCCCCCCAAGAGTTGCACCTGGGGAGAGTAACCCCACAGCCACCGTCCCTCCCCATCATCTCAAATAGATTTGTGTGTCCTTGTGCTCAGCCTGGGGGTGTGGAGCACAGATCAGTCGACCTGGGGGAGAAGGGACAATGGAGCAGAAGTTTGGTGCCTTAGTGGAGCCTGTGAGCAAACATGTCTGCACAGAGGGCACTTATAGGGGTGTGTGTGCGTCTGTGCATGTGTGTGCATGCGTGTGTTACCAGGGCATGTGTGCACCTGTGTGCAGATGTGTGTGGGTGTGTGTGCATCCGTGCATATGCAGATGTGTGTGATTGTGTGTATGCATGTGTGTGCACTGAGATAGGAAAGAAATGGTTGGGGCGAAAGTGCCAGTGAGGGAGCGTGGGGGGGTGGGGGTCTTGTTCCTTTGTTCCCCTTGCCCAGCCCTTCCTGCTCTAAGGAGGGATGGGGGAGCAGCCCTGACTGAAGGTGACACAAGAGGAAGAAAGAGTTTCTGACTCAGAAGTAACTGCCAGTGTAACTTGTAAGCTGTGTCCCTTGTGACTCTGATTCTATGACTCTCTGATCTCCAGGTTCCCTTTAGAGAAGAAGGGGAGGGGAGGAGGGACCCTGTGGTGGGTATTGGAAGGAAAACCAAACAGCCTGCAAGAGGCAGGGGAGCAGAGCGCGAGTGAGGCGCCTCTGCAGCCTTCGGAAGTGGGAGCGCGGAGAGGGGAAGGTGGCAGAGACACCTCAGAGGGTCGAGGAGCAGCGTGACAGGCACACAGGGAGGAAAGGGTGCAAGAGGTTGCCTGGGACCACTGGACGGGAGCTGGGGAGAGAGTCGGGGCAGAGCAGGAGGGCAGGGACGAGGCAGGTGGGAAAGGGAAGAGTCAGCAGAGACACAGTGCTGCGGAAGGCAGGGAGCAAAGAACCCTCAAGAATAAAAAGCACGAGGAGAAAGGGCACCGCTACGGGAGAACTCATAAGCTACTTCGGTGCTAGGTAATGTGAGACAGAGGTAAACAGAAGCCACAAGTAATGTTTTTTTTTTTTCCTTTTTGTCTTTTTTTGTGCCCGGCAACGGATCGCAACCCTCGGTGTTGCTCCCGCACCTCACTCAGCCAGTGAGCGGCCGGTCTGTATGTGGGATCCGAACCCTCGGCGGGAGCGCCACCGCGCTTCCCAAGCGGCGCACTGTAGCAGTGCGCCACCGGGCCGGCCCAGTAATGTTTGTTTTTACAGTATTTACAAACCATAGGCTTTAAGCAGCCCACAAACGTCATCCATTTGTCTGATAATGTGGGAAGACCAGCCCTAGTGAAGACAGAGGTAAATGGTTGGTTCTGGTCTAGACTTTGTGCCTCAAAACACTTCTCAAGAAAGAGGAAATAAAACGTGTCCCTGTTTGCTGGGCTGGGTCTGGTATCTGTGTCACACACACCTCAGGTGGGGGAGCGGGAATGAGACGGGGGTGGCAGGGGTCATTGGCCTGGAGGGGCTGGCCACATGGGCGATGTGAACAGAACTTTGAGAACCCCTGGGACTAGGTGTTTTGTTCTACCAAAAGCCATTGTGGGAGTACGTAGGTATTTTTTACTGAGTACTAAAGTTGTGTTGCCCTGCTCATCAGCATGGCTCAATTCAGAAGGAAGCAAGAAAGTTACCCAGGCCACCCATGGAGAACAAGGGCTTTTAGGGACCAAGTTAAGAAGCCAGGACTAAACTTTCCTTACCCCAGTTTCTATCTGACAGCATTTCAGTGCCAGGGGAGTGTTCACCCAGCATGTCTCACCAGCCACACAACCAGCAACCAACACATTGTCTCTGAGATGGGCTGTAATGCCCTCCATGACTAGCAAGGAGGGAACTTCCAGAGAAAAGCCAGTTCCTGTTGGACCAGTTGGGTTTTCCTAATAGCTTGCTGAGGCTCACTGCATTTCAAATATCTGGCACCTGCCACTGCCCACCCACTTTTAGATGGGCTTAGGGTGATCTAAGGTGGTGCTTCTCAAAATTTAAAGTGCCTGGGCCAGCCCGGTGACGCACTGCTACAGTGCGCCGCTTGGGAACGTGGTGGCGCTCCCACCGAGGGTTCGGATCCCACATACAGACTGGTTCCCGCTCACTGGCTGAGCGAGGTGTGGGAGCAACACCGAGGGTTGCAATCCCGCTGCCAGTCCCGGTCTGGTACAGGAGCAACACTGAGGGTTGCGATCCGTTGCCTGACACGAAAAAAGACAAAAAAAAAAAAAATTTAAAGTGCCTACAAATTGCCTGGGGATCCTGTTAAAATGCAGATTCCAACTCAGTCCTGCATTTCTGATAAGATCCCAGGTGCTGTTGATGGATCCATGCTGTGAGTAGCAAGGGCAAAGAACTTGGCAGTGAGC